TTAATTGCACTTTAGGTTCTGGGGTACCTGTGAAGAACATGCAGGATTGTTGCATAGGTACATACATGGCAATGTGGTTTGCTGCCTCCATCCCCGTCACCTATATCTGGCATTTCTCCCTATGTTATCCCTCCCCAACTCTCTACCTACCACTGTCCCTCCCCTAGTTACCCCAACAAACCCCAGTGTGTGGTGCTCCCCTCCCTGTGTCCATGTGTTCCCATTGTTCAACACCCACCTATGAGTGAGAACAGGTGGTGTTTGATTTCCTGTTCTTGTGTCAGTTTGCTGAGAATGATGGTTTCCAGGTTCATCCATGTCCCTACAAAGGACACGAACTCATTGTTTTCTATGGCTGCATAGTATTCCATGGTGTATATGTGCCACTTTTTTTCTAGGGTTTTTATGGTGTTAGGTCTTATGTTTAAGTCTTTAATCCATCTGGAGTCGATTTTAGTGTAAGGTGTCAGGAAGTGGTCCAGTTTCTGCTTTCTGCACATGGCTAGCCAGTTTTCCCAACACCATTTATTAAACAGGGAATCCTTTCCCTATTGTTTGTTTTTATCAGGTTTGTCAAAGATCAGATGGTTGTAGATGTGTGGTGTTGCCGCCGATGCCTCTGTTCTGTTCCACTGGTCTGTATCTCTGTTTTGGTATGAGTACCATGCTGTTTTAACTACTGTAGCCTTGTAGTGTAGTTTGCAACTTGCTATCTTTTCTAAGGAGGCAGTGAGTAAAATTGTATCTTTTACAAAGGTATCATCTGTAAATTATTTTCAGTAGGAAAAAAAAGCCAGAAAAGTTTTCCTGAATCTATCCTTGCTGCTAATTGAGTATGACTTTGTGCCCACGGGATATGTGTTCTGCCCTTCCCATAGTTTGAATTATCATCTGCCTACTGCATTGCAATATGCTACCTGCAGTGTTCTCCCTCTGCAGCAGTCCAAGTAAAACATAGCTGATCTAAATGCTTCCATTTGTAATTGATTTGGAGAATGTACAACCTGTAGTTTTTTGGGGGGGATTGGGGGAAATGGTATGGGTGTCTCTGTTTATATTACTTTGGAAATATTTTATTTCATTAATACTAAAAACCTAAGTAGGACGTCATTTGGTTGAAGTTTGACAACAGAAACTTGTTTCATTCCAGTCTTAATTATTACATTTAGCCGATTTATTTTTTATGACTTAAGGACCTGCTTCCTACCATTTCTTGGTAGAAAAAATATCTGAATGTAAGAAACGAAAGCATAGAAAAGTTTTTTTTTCACATCTAACCTGAATTGTCTTATTATTCAGACAATCCTCACCTTTTTGTTTTCACTTCTTAGATATTTGTTTAAACTCACTAGTTATATTGAGTAGCAGAAACCACAGACATGATTTAGACATGACCTGGTAGGAACCATGACAAACCATAGACATAATGCTTTAAAATAATGGTCCTGCCAGTTTGATCATTGATGTTGCTTTCTGTTGGGCCTATTTAGACGTGTGTGTGTGCATGCATATTTCGCACTTGCCCCGATGTGAGTTAAAATGGAAGTCGTGTTTTAAAGATGAACTTTCTCACCTGTAATAGCAAGTTGTAAATGTCTGTTTTCTATTTCTAGGACCAGCTCTTTAAAGTATGCTTCTGACCCTCTCCTCTGAGGCGTCATGTTGCACACCAGCAGCTCATTTGCTGTTCCACAGCTTGGGTCTCTAGATCTTAATGACTAACACCGGCTGTTGTCCCCCTACAGGTTATCCAGGCTGTCTTTTTTGGCATCTGTGTGCTGACTGATCTTTCCAGTCTTCTGACTCGAGGAAGTGGGAACCAGGAGCAAGAGAGGCAGCTCAAGAAGCTCATCTCTCTCCGGGACTGGATGTTAGCTGTGTTGGCCTTTCCTGTTGGTGTTGTGAGTATGATGGAGGATGCATTTAGCTACAAAAGAAACTTGGCTCTTACTTCAGACTTCTAAGAGACAAAAAACAGAATTCATTATAAGAGGTTTCTGTATTATTAGTTTGCTAGAGCTGTCAGTACCACAGATGCGGTTGCTTAAACAACAGACATTTATTTTCTCATAGTTCTGGAGGCCGAAGTCTGATATGCAGGTGTCCACAGGTTAGTTTCTTCTGAGTCCTCTCTCCCCGTGGCTTGCAGATGGCGCCTTCTGACTGTCTTCACACACTCTTCTCTCTGTGCCTGTCTTTGCCTATTTTTGATATACCTTACAAAAATCTGTCTATTTTTGTAAGATGTATTAGTCATGTTAGATTAGGGCCCCCTAATGGCCTCATTTAACCGTATGTAATTACCTCTTTTAAAAAACCTAGTCTTCAAATAGAGTCACATTCTAAGGTTCTGGGGGTTAGGACTTCCACATACGAATTTTGGAGAGGGCGCAATTCAGTCTATAACAGTTTTTTAAGCTGCCCAAACTTGAAAGATAGGGTCCTTGGGTCAACCGGTCTAGTATTTTTTGAACTTGGGGGAGGAAATAAGTATTAGCTCATACTTCTTCACTTACCCAACTGAGCCATTAGCTAATATCGTTGAAGTAAATGCCTCTTAATGTTTGGATCTGTTTTGACTTCATTGATTTTCATTGTTTTCAGTTAGATTCTCTCCATAACTCAACTTCCTTCATAAGTCTGTTAATTTTCCATTGTCTGCACATAAACCATGTTTTTTAAAGGCCCTCAGAGACCCTGTAGATTTTAACCTTTGCTTAGCCATGATAAGAATAAGAGAATTCATATATATCACAAATTGTAAAGATGAGTAAGAGATTTTACTTAATTCAAATTCAGACCTTTCATTTGCCAGCTGATTTGGGGGAAAAACAGAAGTCCCAGTGATATGGACTAGCACATGCACAAAGTCCATTGTAGGAAGAATCAGAACATTGTTCATAAATCCTTCCAGTAGCTTAATCATATTTGTCAGGTCTGTAGCTGGTAGAAGGCCCTACATGCTTGCTTTAAGACCAATTAATAGACAGATTGTCACTGGATTGCTTTTTCTCTGTGCCAAATTGTATTTTCTTGGATGAAATAGCCCTTAACCCTTGAGAACCACACAATGGCCAGGGAGCATTATAATTTGATTACACTCACCCCCTCATCCTTGTCCTCTGAAAGCAGATCTCTCAAATTCCATTGTTTAGCATAACAGAGTGTAATGCTTTCCATATTACTTAATGTTTCCTTCTTTGGACTTTCCATATAAAATTCAAATACTTTCTATCAGAATACTCATCTAAGAGAAAATTTCCATTAGCATAAAGCATAAATTCATATAGTTTCTGCATAAAGGAATTATCTAGAAAATGTAAGTCTCTCTGTGTAAGTCTATATGCATATATAATATATAGTATATGCATATATATATATATATACATATTATATATATCATACATACATTTTTTCTTTTTTAACATTTACTCCCTTGGAATTCCTATAGACATGTCATTGCCTGTGGAAGCCTTTGTTGGCTAAAAGAACTGCAACAGTAATACAATAAGAAAGTAAATAGGAGTACAGTGTTAACATGTTTTCTCTTAGCTCCCTTCTGTATGTGGTATCAAATTATGTCTCTACAGGGGAAATTTTGACTTACGTTGTAAATCTTGCTGCTTTACTCAAAAGCTCATGGCATGTGCCTTTTAGACATGTTTGACCTTTCTTTGGGGGAAACATTTTGCACCTGCTTGAAACTTGAAGTATTTGTAAACTCTCAGTGTCTTTCCTGAAATTACCCCATGTATGCTTCATGGTTTGTAAAACAAGTGGTGGCCTTTCTGTTTAGTTATTTGTTTTAGTACATCTGATATTTTCCTCCATCTAGCACTATCTTTGTTGTATTGCCTGTGTTTTATAAAAAAGAGGAATAAGTGTCTTTCATCTGCAGCCATCCCACCCCTCTTAAACCAGAAGTCCCAGCATCATGCTTTCATGGTGTACGGGTGCAGCTGTCCTAGTGGCTAAGCTCTCTGACAGCAGGACCAGTCCTCTTCACTGTGCCCAGGGTCTCCCATGCCACCAAGCACATGGACAGGGTCAGTGCTCTGAGAATTCACAACAGAAATCAAAGAATAGATAAGGAATCAGAGATGTGCAACTCACTGATGTTTTTAACTCATTTTTTTTCCCATTGATATTCTGTAGTCACTATTTCCATCTTTCATAATCTCCCCTGTTATTGTGAGTCACTGTTCCCTTCATAGTTACTAGTTTGTTGTTTTTCTAAACTTTTCAAGGTTTCTGTCAAAGAAAGTGATATTTCTTTCTCCCTTTTCCCCCCTCCTTTCTCCCCCTCCTCTCCCCTCTTTTAAGAATAATCTAGGTCACTATTCTCTAGAAATCATCATATGTTTTCCACTATTTCTATCTTGCTCTGTCATTTGACGTTTTGTATCTATTTATGCAGTTTCCACTAGACTTCTCACTCTAACACACAGAAATTCATTTTGAGGCCAAAAAAAGCCAGATAAATTGTTCCTTCCCAAATCCCATTAATTTTAGTGTAGTCATATTTACAAAAGATATGAATGTGCCTCTTTACAAGTATTCGTATTAGTCTGTTCTCACACTGCTAATAAAGACATACCCAAGACTTGAGTAATTTATAAAGGAAAGAGGTTTAATTGACTCACAGCTCCACATGGCTGGGGAGGCCTCACAATCATGGTGGAAGGCAAAGGAGGAGCAAAGTCACATCTTCCATGGTGGCAGGCAAGAGAGTGTGTGCAGGGGAACTCCCCTTTATAAAATCATCAGATCTTGTGAGATTTATTCACCATCATGAGAACAGCATGCAAAAAACCAACCATCCCCATGATTCAATTACCTCCCACTGGGTCCCTCCCATGACACATGAGGATTATGGGAGCTGAAATTCAAGATGAGATTTTCGTGGGGACACAGGCAAACTATGTCAGTGTTTTAACACAAATTTTTTTTTTTCACTAAAACATTTAACTTTGTGGTTTTTCATCTTTCTCTCCCTAAGGGTATTTCCCACCTTTCCTTTCCAAGGTGCTGTGTCTTAGCTGTGGCTTCAGAGTTTCCCCTGTCCCTTCTGTATTCCCCCAACTGCTCAGAGGGGTCTAGAATCCTGCTATAGTTTTATTCTTATGACTTAGGACGTTCTTCCTTATTAAAATGCAAACTCTCCCTGGAGCATTAAAATGATTCACCAGGAATCACTTGAAGAAGCATCATTTTTATTCTTTCTGTGCCTCCTGGCCTGGAAAGGAGGTGCCGACCTGGAGGGGTCATTACATCAGAAGGATGGACGAGCATTAATGCCCAGGAACTGATGGAAGCAGAATTATGCCTGTACAAATCTGTAGCATAAAAATGCTTATCATGTGTGAAGATGATTAATGATAACATTTATAAGTAAATGTGTTCATAATTTTGGTGGATGCAGTCAAAATCCTAAAGGGCAAAATTCTTAAGCACCCTCTCTGTGCCGGGGGACCACCAGGTATCCTATAGCTGCAGGTGCAGAGCCTCAGGTTTAAGTCCTCCTGTGGTTCCCACAGGTCTCCCCTGCTCTGCCACCCTGACTGCTAGGGCACTGCCAACCTTGCAGAGTGCTTCCCTGGCTACTATTTACTGACTTCCTTTGCCTACTGCCTTTCTACATTTTTGTCAGTCAGAAGTTGAAAGGGAAAGCAATGTTATTTTTGCTTCTTGGTGCAGGCAAAATGGCATCGGGCATGAAAAGAGAGTAAAGAATGAATGCATTACCTCTGAACAGCTGAATTTATCAACTTTGTACAAATGTTCCTGAAGAGACCTCTTGGCTCCTGAGCTTTTCCTGATGCTCCCATTATCTCTCTCTTTCTGTCTCTCTCACCTCAACTGAAATCATGGCAGCAAGAATGACATGGGTGGGTTATCTGGGATTTGTATTTTCTGCATTAATGCTTCCTCCAGTAACGAGGTTAATTGAGAGTTGACAGTAATTGCTTTATGTGAGCATGAAGCCCTAAATATGATTTTGTAACCCATGCACCTAATGTGGCTACTTCATGGTCTCTCTTTATCTCAAGGATACATAAAAATCATGAAACATTCCAATCAAAGATAATTGGAGGAAAGTTTTATTTCAGCATAACCTTGAGGAAATGAGGCAGGGCTGCTTGAGTGAACACGGCATGTATCATCCTGATTTGTGTAGATTCCCATAAATACAAAGCTGGCCTTGATTAGTAATGCTAATGGCCGGAAACCACCAGCACTCCCAAAGCCTTGCAACTAATTTTGCAGGAATAACCCTTGGGAGGCTCTTCTTACCATGTGCAGTTTATTTCTGAACCCTGTCACCCTTTTAAAGAAGCATTACAAATAATTGTATGACATTATGTGGTCTGGAAGCACTGAAGTTTATTAGGAGCAATCAGACCAAGAATGTCTTTTGTCTCCTGTGAGTTTGTTGACTTTTGTGCTGGCAGATACCATTATGGCTAAGAGACTAGGCTTAGGCTTTTAACCAAAAAAAATGGGGGAGGCATGAGAGAGGAGCAGAAACAGCAAATAAATAAATTATATATATATATATATATATATATATATATATAAATTCATATATGTAATATATTTATAAGTGTATTTTTATTTATTTAATATATATTATATACTTAACATATATAATTATATTACATATAATATAATTATAATGTAATTTATATTATATTTAATAAGTATGAAAGTGCCCCCTCAGGAATCCTAAATTTATCTCCAACTGCTAACTAAAGCAGCCCTTTAATGAAAAAGTACGATTATTTATACATTTTAAACTTTATGTCTTTTTTAATAGATATGGGGTTTCGCCCTGTTGCCCAGGCTGGAATGTGGTGGTGCAATATCTCACTACAGTCTCAACATCGTGGGTTCAAGGGAT